GGAAGTTAATCTTTGACGGCGCTGTTAACTCATACGGTAGTGGGATTGGGGCAATCATTACAACTCCCCATGGGTCCCATATACCATTCACCGCGAGGTTAACATTCCCATGTACCAACAACGAGGCCGAGTACGAAGCATGTATCATGGGTATTGAAGAAGCAATCGACTTAAGAATCAAGAACCTTGATATATATGGAGATTCAGCCTTAGTGGTCAACCAAATCAAGGGAGAGTGGGAAACGCGCCAGCCAAATCTGATCCCATACATGAACTACGCAAGGAGGTTGCTACCTTTTTTCGATCGAGTAGAGCTTCACCATGTGCCGAGGGAAGAGAATCAGATGGCCGATGCTTTGGCTACTCTATCCTCGATGTACAAAGTTAACTTCTGGAACGATGCTCCAATAATTGTCATTTCGCGGCTCGATAGACCAGCATTTGTGTTCGCAATAGATGAAGCTCCTGATGGTAAACCATGGTTTTATGACATCCGAAACTTTCTTAAGAACCAAGAGTATCCGCCTGGGGCATCTACCCAAGATAAGAAGACTTTGAGGAGATTGTCCGGCAATTTCTATCTGAATCCAGACGGTGCGCTCTATCGGAGAAACCATGACTTAGTGCTACTAAGATGCGTGGACGAAAAAGAGGCAAATTTGCTTATGGAAGAGGTCCACGAAGGTGCTTTCGGAACACATGCAGGTGGGCATGCCATGTCTCGGAAATTGTTGAGGGCAGGATATTATTGGTTAACTATGGAGTCAGATTGCTTCAAGTATGCCAAGAAATGCCACAAATGTCAAATTTATGCCGACAAGATTCATGTACCGCCGTGTCCTTTGAATGTCATGTCGTCGCCGTGGCCTTTTTCCATGTGGGGCATTGATATGATTGGAAAAATAGAGCCGACCGCGTCCAATGGACACCGTTTTATCTTAGTGGCTATTGATTATTTCACCAAATGGGTCGAAGCGGCCTCTTATGCCAATGTCACAAAGCAGGTAGTGGCCCGATTCATCAAAAGAGATATCATCTGTCGATATGGGATACCCGAAAGGATCATTACTGACAATGGTTCTAATTTGAATAACAAGATGATGAAGGAACTGTGCCAGAGTTTCAAAATTGAGCATCACAATTCTTCTCCCTATCGCCCGAAAATGAATGGCGCCGTGGAAGCAGCCAACAAGAACATTAAGAAGATAGTACAGAAGATGGTGATAACTTATAAGGATTGGCACGAGATGTTGCCCTTTGCCTTACATGGATATCGCACTTCGGTGCGTACTTCAACTGGGGAAACTCCCTTCTCGTTGGTGTATGGCATGGAAGCTGTTCTGCCATTAGAGGTCGAGATCCCTTCGCTAAGAGTACTGGCAGATGTCAAACTAGATGAAGCAGAATGGGTAAAGAACAGGTTGAATCAACTCAGTTTGATGGATGAGAAAAGATTGGCGTCTCTCGCGTACGGTCGTTTGTATCAGAAGAGGATGAAGAGCGCCTATGATAAAAAGATACGTCCTCGGAACTTTCAGGCAGGCGATTTGGTGTTGAAGCGAATTCTCCCACCGCAGAACGATCACAGAGGCAAATGGACTCCCAACTACGAAGGGCCGTATGTTGTAAGAAAGGTTTTCTCAGGAGGAGCCTTGCTGCTTTCAACTATGGATGGTGAAGATTTTACATCCCCGGTGAACGCAGACGCGGTCAAAAAATATTTTGCTTAAGAAAGCTCGCTGGAAAGAAAAAGAGTATCCAGGCAAGAATGAGGCATCCCGGCGAACCATAAAAAGATAGGTTCGGGCAAAAATTAGGGATATAATAAAAATGTAAACCCGCAAAGTTGAAAACCTGAAAGGGCAGCTTTGGCAAAAATGGGTATCCTGGTGAATCGAAAACCCGCAAGGGCGATTCAGGCAAAAATTAGGGATTTTAAAGCAAATGATTGCGGCCTGCGCATTGATTATCACAAGCATAGTGGATTCTAGGGAGAACTCGAAGATCGACCATTCAAGTCAATCTCTTCGGAAGTTAAAGCATCGGAAAGCGTCAAAGCCGCGCGAGTCATGGATGAGTCGTCACATGGTGCTTGTCTGTACCACGTTGCCGACATTTTTGTATATTTTCCTTGTGATTGTCTTTTTGCGCGACTTTCTCTTTTCAGGAGTCGCATCCAATGTAAAGTTGCCTATTTTCAGGCCTTTTATCAATAAAATATACTATTCAGAAAAAGCTTTTGTTTTGGTTTTAAATTTTTACCATTTTGTTTGCAAAAGACGCTTGATTTTTATTGATGGGAAAACTTTGCATACATGAACTTGTGGGCTTTGCTAACTGTTAATCAGGACATTTGTTTTAAATAAGGTCATAATTGATAAACTTGGTGCCAGCTGTATAACACATTTGTCTAGCTGTTGTCATTTTCCCCAAGCAGAGATTGAAGTTGATTCCCTCCTTATCTAATCCCCAGCCAAACCAGCGGAGTTAATTTTTCCTCCCCGCAGAATAGGGCTGACTCAAAGATCGTTCATTTCCATCCTCAGCAGAGAGAGTGTGGGATAATCTCCCGGTAAATCTTATTCAAAATCCCTAGCAGATAGCGGATTCAATCTCCGACAGAATGGAGCTATTCCTCAGCAATCTGTTGTGTTTCCCCAGTAGAGTTATTCTGGCTAATCATTCATAACTGATTTCCCCGGTAGAGTGGAGTTGTTGCCTCCAGCCAAGTTGCTTGATCCCCGGAAGAGTTGTAGGCTGATAGGCCATCCGGGACGTTTTCCGCAGCAGAGTTTGATTTGGATCCCCAGCGGAGTGGTTTTGGTCTTAGCAAAGCAGTTTTACCCAGAAGTTTTTTTCGGAGGCCATCCAGGGCTTGTATTCCTCAGCATGGGTTCATTTGCGCTAGGCGTATCTAGCTCTGACTCAACGGAGTTAGCTCTTTCTCTTTAGCATTTATTTTGTTAAAGTGGTTCATTTGCATCTACATACATGCATAGCATCTACCCGAACGCGAAGCATTCCCATTTCGTATGGAGCATTTCGTCATATCCTAACATATGCATGTGAAACATAAGCCAAGTCGTTACCCTTTTGTTTCAAGTGAATCTCGCAGATGATTAGTATCTTTGCCCGTGTGTTGGCTAGGCCCCAGCTCATGGTGTTTCCCCAGCGGAGTTATTTTGTGATTATCACCAATGGATGGTCTTAATTTCGTTTGAATCTTGTTGCTCGCTTATATTTAGCGGAGACCTGACGGCGATGTTAGATGATTTAGTTGTTCAACGGCGATGTTGAAAAGTTTGTTTTGACGGCGATGTCAAGTGATTTTATTCTTCAACGGCGATGTTGAGAAGTTTGTTCTGACGGCGATGTCAGATGATTTAATTCTTCAACGGCGATGTTGAGGAGTTTGTTTCTGGCGGCGATGTCGGAGTAATTTGTTTATTCAGCAGCGAGGTTGGATGTTTGTTTCTGGCGGCGATGTCGGAATAATTTATTTATTCAGCGGCGAGGTTGGATGTTTGTTTCTGGCGGCGATGTCGGAGTAAGATGTTTGTTTCTGGCGGCGATGTCGGAATAATTTATTTATTCAGCGGCGAGGTTGGATGTTTGTTTCTGGCGGCGATGTCAGAGTGATTTGTTTCTCCAACGGCGATGTTGGATGTTTGTTTCCGGCGGCGGTATCAGAATAATTTGTTTATTCAACGGCGATGTTAAAAGTTTATTTCTGACGGCGATGTCAGATGTTTCAGTTTTTCAGCGGCGATGTTGAAAGTTTGTTCTGACGGCGATGTCAAAAGGATTTGTTTGTTCAACGGCGATGTTGAAAAGTTTGTTTCTGGCGGCGATGTCAGAGTGATTTGTTTCTCCAACGGCGATGTTGGATGTTTGTTTCCGGCGGCGGTATCGGAATAATTTGTTTATTCAACGGCGATGTTGAGAAGTTAGTTCTGACGGCGATATCATATGATTCAGTTTTTCGGCGGCGATGCTGAAAGTTTGTTTTGACGGCGATGTCAAAAGGATTTGATTCTTTAGCAGCAATGCTAGATGTTTGTTCTTGGCGGCGATGTCAGGTAATTTGGTTCTTCCAATGGCGATGTTGGATTTTGTCTTGACGGCGGTGTCGGAGGATCGTATCTTTGGATTCAATATCTGTTTGTATTTAACAGAGGACTGACGGCGAGGTTAGATCTTTTTACCGACTTAATGTCGAGGCCTGACCGTGAGGTTAGATGGTTTTACCGATTATTTTAAGAATTGACGGCGAAGTCAGAAGATCGTTTTAAGAGATGACGGCGAAGTCAGGGACTTTACCAAAGTCCTGTGAAAATTGACGGCGAAGTCAGAAAATATTGAAGACCGACGATAAAGTCAGTCGATTTATAATTTTGACGCTGAGATCTGACAGCAAGGTTAGATGCTGTTAAAGGAGCTGACTGCGAGGTCAGACGTTCTACTTGATATAGGTACCTGGCGGCGATGTCAGAGGTTCGTATCGCGATTGTCAAATTTTCGGGTCCTTGGGTATTCAACCGTCTTTTACCTTGATTGTATGAAAGTCGCTTACCTTTCATCCCTTCAGGTCTAAGTCGCTTGAATAGGGGCAGCTGTTGTACCCCAAAATTTGACCGACCTCTCTGGCTTATGTTTTATTTCATTGCATCAGCACATACATAAGCATTGCATTGCATAGCATCTTGCAGTTCGCAGGGAATCGAGAAATTTGTGTCTGACAAGAAGAATTGTCAAGAAATTTGCATAGCATCATAGCATCTTTTGAAGATTAACCACCATCATGGATTGGTGAATGTTTGCATTCATTGTTTCATTTGGAAGAGAAATGAAGAGTAACTGGAATGCATTTACATCACTAAACTGAATTAACAAGGACATGATTGTAAAGTTACTTTTGCTAATTTCTTACATAAAATTATTTGCAACTACAAAAGAAAATATAAGGTCACGCACTTTATTTAAATTGAAAGAGATACCCTTCAAAAACTGGATTCCTCCGTTGCCGGACGCCTCAGGAAATATCTCAAGCTGTTAGCAAGAACCTGCTGCAGCTGCTTGCTGATTGCTTTGCCTTTGTAGCTAACATGAAATTTTGCCTTAGCCAAGAGCCCCTCAGTATCGAACTCTCCAGATTCAACAGCAATGTCAATGTCAGTAATACTTTTTACAAGCTCGACGAGTAACCCAGGGTGATCAGCTGTTTCCACGTAGAACAAACTTCGATCTGGACCATCATCAGAAACATATATGCGAGTTGCAATGTCCACATCAACTTGCTCTTTTGGAGGTAGAAGTCCAAAAGCTGCTCCCATTGCTAATTGAGAACTTGATTCCGGGTGATACTGAATCAGATTATTTATAATTGTCAAACGAATTGCTTCTAACAACTCTGGATCTTCGACTTTTCTGCCGGTATCAGCTTTTGTGATGGAAAACTTGTTGTGTTTGCCAGAAGAATCCAGAAAGACATTTGCCTTAACAACATTGAGGCCTAAGCTTTTTAATGCACTCATTGTGTCAAGGAGAGCTCCAAGCCGGTCACCAAAAGTTATCTTCACCACAGTTGCATTTAGATCAGAGTCTTGGTCAATTATGACTATCGGGGTTGGAACGGTATCAGTCTCACCTTGATTACCATCCTGCACATCAGTAACAGGTGCTGCTGCTCGAGGGATAATTGTAGTTCCAGAGGATAACAATCTTGTTTTATGAAGAAAGTAACATGGCTTAGTATGACTAAACCTAGAAGATACCTTCATAAAAGGAACAGAGAAGATAGGTTTTTCAGTAGCAGCAGTGAAGTGAAATCCAATAGTGGAAGCAGTGATAGGCATAGCCATTTCTTCAACAAATTGACGAATTCAGAGCAAAAGGTGAAGTTTAGAGAAATTGGAATGGGAGAGGAAAAAAGAAGAAAAGAAGCAGTTCATAGATTCATTCATATCTTGTATCAAATTTTCGGAAGAGATTGTGTGATAATGATCCTGGTGTAATGGGTGCTACTCTCTGTCCTTTGTTTGATCTCGTAAACGACGATCCTACCCCGTTTAAAGATCTTGTTGTTAGCTTTGTTAGTATTCTCAAACAGGTAGCAGAACATAGGTTGCCTAAGAGCTATGATTATCACCAGATGCCAGCTCCATTCGTTCAGATTGAATTGCTGAAACTTCTTGCATTGTTGGGGAGCGGTGACAAGCCTGCTAGCGAACACATGTATACTGTTATAGGCGATATAATTAGGAAGGGAGATTCGTCAAGTAACATAGGGAATGCGGCCTACTAACATCATTGGGCTGAATAAAAGGTCTGGAATTTAAATTGGAAGGTGATTGCAAGTTATTGTTAGCCCAAACCGATTGCTGTTTACTGCCATCAGTAGTTGAAGGTTGCTCACTTCCAGATAATTGCCCCATATTCCGAAAGCCTAGACCGCTCCATTCCTCCTGGACACCCATGTCACTACTAGATGTTTCTGCTACAGCAGACTGCATAAGCGCACTCCAACTTCACACTCTGAAGGGATGGAAATCCACTAGAACTATCTGTACCATCCAGCATATTAATGTCACCTATATTTGTACCCAAATCCATCCCACAGGTTATCATCTGAGCCAAACAAAATCTTCTTTTCAGATTGGATCTAGTGTAGCTACGTTCTGTGAAGGAGGAACCTGCACTATCTTGTCTTGTGATGATAGCTCTGAAGATCCAGCTAGTTCATGTCTCCCATTAAAATCTTGCATTGATACAATTCTTTGCCCGTAATTCATTTGCTGCAAGTTTTCCACATTGACTCCATTTATACCATGAGCAGTAGGTCCAAACATGCTCTTTTCTTGAATATCCTGTCTTGAAACTAAAGGTCCATCATTTGTGTTACTTTGATCTGAAAATGCAGCATATTGGTAAGCGGGAAATGAATTACCACCGGCTGTTATATGTGGCAGCGTATATTTGTTCCCATGAACATGAGAGTATTGCTGTGGGAAAGAAACTTGAGGCATTGCAGGCTTATCTGTTTGAAAATGATAATAAAGGTTAGGAGTGTCTCCTGAACCAGATACTGGAACCCCATAAAGAGACTGGTCTCCTCCCTGATTATGAACCAAACCCATCATGCGCAATGCTTGTCCTTGTTCAGGAGATAACATAAGCCCGTTAGAGGACCCGTGCATAACTGGAGATGCACCACGCTGGATCCACACTAAGCTATGGATTATGATGAACCTGCAAAGAAAATTTAAGTGTATCAGTAAGAATTGTTGTGTTACCACAGTGAAAAATCATGATTAAAAAAAAAGGACAATTTCAAAAGCTACAAACAGACAAAGAACATGCTGTTTTCAATCCCACAACTTCAGCCCTTGCTCCCACTGCAAAAAGTATTTCATTTTCTTTCCCAAAGAGGAAGAGACCCAAAGTTCCCACAATTTCTCTAGGCTAAACCCTAATCTCACATCATGAAGCCCCCATATATATTGGTTGCTATTCATCCAACAAAAAACCTAACAGGCAGCAGCCACCCTCTCTCACAGTTCATCTTTATCCCTCAAACAGAAAAACACACAGAAACAAAACGAAAAAGAGATTGAAGAAGAGAGATTATCTGTTTTCGGCATCTACGGATTGGTGGTATCGGTTCAACGAAAGCTGTGCATCATCCAAACTCCTCGTTACTAGCGTGAGAATTTGTCAGATTCGCTCCAACTCGGTAAGTATTCTATTAATCTTTCTGTCTTCATAGTCTTACTTTGAGTCGATTTGTGTTGTTTCCTGACATTGAGTCCAATGAACCATCGCCTTCCCAAAACGCCAACCGTTATCCCTTCCATCACTCATGAACATTCCATCCTCATCATCATAGAACACCACCATTTTACACTCTCTTCAGTTTTTCTCCTTTAAACAGAACCATTCAGAACCGCTACAAGCTGGAACAGCCACCTAAAACTATTGTTCGGCCTTGAACCATTCTCCACGCCAGACCAGAAACCTGCAACAAACCATACAAACTCAAAACCCACAAACCTTCAATGTCCATCTTCAAAACCTACAAGCCCTCACCATCCTCTTCAAAAACGAAATCCAAACCACAAAAGCCTTCACTTACTTCAGAAACTCATTTCCTCTTCAAACAATCCCTCCATAACCTTCAACCAAAATCCCCTTAACCTCAAAGTTTCAAATCGAACAAACCCAATCCCAAATGGAAAACAGTAACTCACCACTCAACACTCAACACCATAAGCATTTTCGAACCACACTCAAACAACCTTCACCGTTCATCACCGGAAAAACCTAAACACCATAAATCTCTTCTTCTTCGACCTTCAACACAAACAACCTCATCCAAAAACTTCATAAACTCAAACTTCTGAAACACTCAGCAACATTCATCATAAATCTCAAACCAGAAAAACACCAAACCAGACCTCCTTCTGCAAATCCACAATCTCCATCGGAAAAACCCCCCCACCCTTATCCCCTTTTTAACCTTTGAGAGCCTCAACAGCAAAATACTTCATAAACCCGTTTGAACAGCTCTAAACCACTTCCGAAACTCCGAAACCCTTATCCATTATGAAGCTCCTTCAAACCCAGAATAACAACTCGAAACAAACCGACGCCGCCATTAAAGCCCATTTCTGGCGACGATACCTTCATCTTCTCCAGACAAAGAAACAAAACTCAAATACCCATCTCCGAAACATAAACCTTCAACCCGTTATAAACTTTCGTTACCATCACCCAACACCCATGATACAACCCTCATCTCAGAACCATGGTAGAACCTCACAAATTCGTTCAAACTCACTAAGAAACGCAAGAACTGAACTCCATCCTCGCAGTACAACACCCACACTCACCACCTTCAGATTCAACCTTCACAACCCATAAACTCAACATCTCTCAGAAATCGAACGAATTCATGCCGTCACCTCCAAATCACCGAAAGCATACCAAATCCCTAACCTCCATCGAAAATCCGCTTCATCCCTTTTCTTCAACAAACCCTCAATTCGAGAAGTTCCTCCATCATTTCGGAAACCACAACCCGAAAGTTTTCCTCTTCATCAAACTTCTCCAGAAACTTATATCTCTTTCAAACCCATCCATCAACTAAACCCGAAAAATCAAACAAAACAGAGAGTTTGAGATCGAGAGAGAGAGAGAGAGAGAGAGAGAGAGAGAGAGAGAGACAGTGAGATTGAGGGAGTTTTGTCGATTTGATTTGGAACAGTGAGAGTAAGCGTGAGAGTTAAGATCGACGGGATGAAAGGATCCTTTTTCTCTTTTCATTTTAATTTTGCTGCTGTTTGTCTGGGCTTAGGCAACCGTGTTTTGAATCACCATTCCCCGTTTCCGTTACAAACCCCCTCCCCTGTTTTTTGTTATTATTATTATTAATATATTATTATTAGTTCTTGTGTAAACATTATATTATATTTTATTTTCTTTTAAAATTTTATGTATTTTATATTTTAGAAGCTTTTATATTCTCTTTTTTTTTTTTTTTTAAAGATTTCTTAATACTCTTTTTTTAGAATTTATATATTATTTTAGTTTCATACTTTATTTCAATTCCTATTAGAGTTTATTCTTTTATTTTTTAGGGTTAAAATTCATTTATCATTTGTTATTGGGCATTTTCGCCTTTTGGGTCGATGACGAGACCTCCGTAATTCATTACCAGTCAAATTATTGGTAGGTAATGTTGGATCTGAGACCACATCTTTTTTTCTCTCCTCGCTTCTCGTCCCAAATCGATTCAAAAACCTTGCCAAACAAATCTTCGAAACCTAGTCATCTTTGTATTGAATTAAAAAGAGGGGATTAAGTGTAGACTTTCTTCCTCTCCGAGTGTTGGGATACCCACTGTAGTGAGGGTGGTCCCGACACTCGTCTTTCAATACGAAGACGCTTCCCATCCATTTTCAAATCTCATCTCAATAAGAAATCATTCCTTTGTGTTGAGCTAAAAAGAGGATTGGGTGTAGACCCCTTCTTCTTCGAGCGTAAGGATGCCCATTGTAGTGAGGGTGGTCTCGATGTTCGTCTGTCAATACAAAGACGCTTCCAACATTTCCTCATAAAACCTCGGTCTCGGACTGAGTATGCTTTCAATAATAAATTAATTTCTCTTTGTATCGAATTAAAGAGAGAAGATTGGGTGTAGACCTCTTCTTCTCCGAGTGATGGGATGCCCACTGTAGTGAGGGTGGTCTCGATACTTGTCTTTCGATACGAAGACGCGACTTTATCCACCATCTCACTTTCACGACTTCCTTCCGTAATCTTTCTCACCTAAAACCTCGGTCTCGCATCGAGTGCATTTTCAAATCATTTTCACATTAAAACTTGAATGGTCGTGGAGTGGTTAGGCGTAGGCCTTCTCCTATCCCGAGTGCTGACGTTTACCGTAGGGTTCTCTGTCGCAAAGCACTTACCATTCAAAACCAAAAACATCTTTAATAAGAGAACGAAGTTCTCTTTGCATTGGATTAAAGAAAGAGGATTGGGTGTAGACCTCTTCTTCTCCGAGCGTAGGGATGCCCGCTGTAGTGAGGGTGGTTTCGACGCTCGTCTTTCAATACGAAGACGCCTCGTTCGCCACACCCTTTTATAACAAAAACTTTGAGATAAAGAATTGGGTACTACCCGTAGGGGTTACTATCCGAGGACCTGTCTCGCCCCCTAAAAAACAATCCAATCAATCAAACGTGACTTCTTGCCTCGAGTGGCGAAAACCAATCAATCTTTCAAAAAGGATATGTTACGTCCGTTCTACCGCAAACAGGTAACACTTAAGTCTCCAACGAGCGAGCAGCAAAACACCTAA